AAAAAAAAAAAAAAAAAAAAAAAAAAAAAAAAACATTAAAATTATTAATATTGATAGAACAATAGAAAAGGCAGTTTTCCTGTTTAATATTTTACAAATATGAAGGAATGATGCAAACAGTATTTTAGCCATCATCATTAATATTTTTTATTCAAAACTTAATGTAAATTAAGTCTTTGCTTTTATTAAAAAGATACCAGCAAATTTCAATTAAATATCTTAAGCTATGTTTTATGTTCATTTTAAGTAAATGTTTTATCTTTTCAGAAATAGAATACTTAATTAGTGTTTCTATGAATGCAATAAGGACTCTCATAGTACAGTTAGATTAATTTAATTAAAGGTTTTTATCATTTGCATGAATATAGTCTTTTCTGTTCCATTTTAAAATTGTAAACAATTCATTGCTAATTTTAGGATTTATATTGTAACTAACAAAAGGTTTGTTTTGATTGTAAAAATTGCAGAAAAAAAAGAACTTTTATGAGCTGCAGGTCTGGTCATCTAACGCCCCCTGCTGGTGAATTCTGTCACTGCTGTGAAAAGGGAACTTACAGCACCTTCACACTGGATCTGACTCTGCTCCCTGAAGGCCTGACTGAGATCAGACCAGACCAGATCAGGTTTGATCACAATCAGACGTGGTTTTCATATTTTTAAAACAATCTGGCTGCTCTCCAGATGTGAAGTTTCTGTTTAAAAAAATCATAAAAATAAATTTACGAGCAGCTTTCCAGCCYTGTGGTGAGAAGGAAAAAAACAAAATTAGATTTACAAAAAGGAAGTAAGAGCTGAAAAAAATCCCTGCAGAAGCAGATCATCAAAGCAGATTTGAAAGATTTAAATCCAAAACTGGAATCCTGTTTCTATTCATAGCATTAAAAAAAACACTTTATCAAAATAAAATCCAGGTTGAGTCACTTTAGTCTTCTGAACCAACAGTTACTATATTTTACAGATTCACATGAAGGAAAGTTTTGCATTTTGGCCAAAGAAATTTCACAAAAATTCTCATAAACTTTCATTTATGTTACACAATTATAGAATCCTGTGATTATTTTGAGCTCAGAAAGCTGCYGTAGCAGGTAGCTGTAGCACTTCCAGCACAATCGATCATGATAGTACATACTTTGAAATGAAGTTAAAGTCAAATCAGTTTTAACAGTCAAATATTTTAACATTTTTATCAGTAAATGAATCATATACTGTATATATACAGTATATATATATATATTATTATTATTATTATTACAATTCTACAGTTAAGACAACCATTTAATCTGTTTTTTAATGTAATAAAGTATTGTAAGTATTTTGTTTGGCAGGAACAGATTTCTTCAATCATCCAGGAGGCGGATTAAGATGATAAATGTTTTAATGTAGATGCTTCAGAAGTGATACAGGAGTAAAGAAACTTGTAAATTAATTAGCTGACCTCGTCGTGTGCTTCTGTCTTTAATGCTGGGTTTATCTGCTGAGTCACTGTTGAGTCACCATGTGTCACTTTGGGCTGCAGATGTTCTATAATCCCAAGATTTCCCAGGGATTCCCACTGACCTAATCTGTACAGGTTCTGCAGGTTGGTGAACAATCTGACAAATATTTAACAAAGAGTTTCTCTCTGGAAAAAAAATTAATAAATAAAAAAAACTCCTGAAAATCCAAACACGGCTTTAAAATGCGATCTAAAATMACAATGTTGTTTCAATTCCCTGTTCTGTTTTGTACTTCCTACCTGAAACCTCCCAGGTACTCACCTTTTCATCACCCTATGTGTCTGTTAGCAAAACATCTGTAGAATCACTGCCACAGCTAATAGACATTAGTCAACACAACAATGACAATAACTGTCAATTTTACAGATTTTGAGCTAGAAGTGGATCTGATAGCTGAGAGTCGTCCTCAGCTCATGATTGTGACATTATTTTCAAGGTTTGACCACAAAAARGGCCACAACTCTGTCATTTATCAACATATAAGACGGCCTTTACTGTTCACTTTATTTACACACTTTGTGTTTTAGTTTTCTTCAGAGCAAATMTTCTGGTTCTCTGAACAATAGGAACCAACATAAAGCTTTCAGACATGTTTATTTTTTATTTAACCCACACAAAACACACCGCAGCCCCGCTGATGACTCAGGTTTTATGCAGAAAAGCTTGGAAAATGTCCCACCTGCATGCGTCCGGAGTTCCTCTCATGCCTCGGCTGTTTCTGAAACATTTTCCGACATGTTGGACTTTTGTGTTTTTAGTCATTCCAGACGAAGACTATTTTCAGTCAGCAGAGCCCAAACTGGATTCTTATGACTGTGCTCTGAGTAAAGGAAAAAAAAAAAGTTACTCGAATGACACAAATCAGAAACAGCGCGGTGCAAATAGGAGTGTGCAGATTTGGATGTGCATGTTTTTTAAAATGTGCTGAGTGAGTTTCTGAGCTTTCCTGGTGGAACTGGTCTCACACAGACTGAACAACAGGAAGTTGGACTTTCCCCAGCAGTCCTCTGGAACAGCGTGTTCAAACTGATATTTGTTTATAAGGGATCGGCCCCGTTGAGCCTTGTGGCCTCCAGCAGAGCTTCAACTGTTTCACTTTTGGTCTCTGTGGAACGACAAGGGGAGCGGTTTGACATGAAGGTGTTGATTAGTCAAACATCAGGGTTCTGCACATCTTTGACCCTTGACCAGGGTGTCGGTGGGGAACTCCACCGCACGCCTGCTGCCTCGCTCAGGTTTTTGTCACATTATAAAATAAAACAAAKTGAAAGCACGCTTTAAATTTTGGAGGAAATTCCTGTGCAGTCCCCCCCCTCCCCATCCCCCCGTCTGCCCACCCCCTGTGGCTCAAAGATGAGTCAATCAAAGGGACGTCTGTCTCTTAATCACATCAAAACTCTTTTATATTCTTCAAGCATTTACTTTTTTTTTTCAAAGTGTTGTTCATGCAAAGCGCTTGAGGACCATAAWAAATACGCAGCAAACAGAATTTAATTACACTTTTAGATAATAACCACTGGATCTACAACCGATTCACTTTTGGAGGTCAGCCCCATTCAAGATGGCCGCCACAGCTGAGCAACCTTAAACAAAAAATGCCCATAATTCAGCCATCAGTCACATATGTTTAAGCTACAATTTGGTGTGGTAGTAGCTGAGAGTCATCCCCAAAACATACACTGAGCATTACCTGATTGTGAAAGAGATGTTTTAAAAAGTTGGCTGTTATGACTGCTCTCTTTGTTAGCAAAATATCCCCTGAAATGCTGGACAGAATGTAATGAAACTTGCAAAAAACTAATCACTAGATGTACTTTTGCAGCTGAATAACTGCTGGAGTCAACCCAATGCAAGATGGCCGCCAAAGTCAGCTGAATTCAAAGCACACAAACAAGTCTGCAACCCAGCTAAATTTAGACAGATTGTTAAAAATAGGTGTGGCAGTGGCTGTGAGTCCTCCACAACAGAGGCTAAAAATGCTTACTGATCACACTTGAGGTGTGTATACGGAAAAGGTTTATTTGAGAACATTGGGGGGCCCAATAACAATTTTACAGCGGCCGCTTCTGGCCCTCGAGCCGCCTCTTGCACAAGTAAAAAAGGTTTTAAAAAGTTTTAGTGCAGCAGATGTGTCCTGCACACGACGAGCAACGTCTTTTTGTGTGTGTCTGGCAGAAAAACCCCGCTGGAGCCAGAGATCTGCAGTGTTATTCTAGGTGAAACACTTCTGGAAATCCCCCGCCTTGTTGCTGCTAAGCTCCGCCCCGCCGGGCGGGTACACACATTTGTACAGACTGCTCCCGACACCGCAGCAGCCACAACACAACTCTGCGCAGCGAGGACTTGTTGATCGCCATGGACCTCCATCGGATCAGCTTGTTAAACCAAATGGATTACAATCGGGAGTCCAAAGAGGGGAAGGGGGACCCGTCGTCGACCGACGAGCGGCTCGACAGCGGCGTGAATTCGATGGAAGAGAAGGACTTCCAGGCAGTGGCGGAGGAGATCCAACGACTCCAGCTGGAAAACGAACACCAACAGCGGACTCCGTCCGTAAACGAGGAACCGCTTCACGAATGGCAGACACAGATCACAGAAGAAGGGGATACGTAAGTTTCACAGGAAACGACAAGTATTTAGGATTTTTATTTAAAGAAAAAGGGGGGAAACAGTTCAGTTTTCGGTGTCGCCTGAAAAGAAGGCCTCGCTTCGGTCTCGGAGGTAATCCGACGCCTTCCTCCTCCTRCGTTGGGAATACGTTGTCCTTTTAACTTTAATAGTTAGTTGAGCTTTATGTTTTATGCCTTTAGGCATGCAGCGTTAATAATGCAAAGCAAAAGCATGTGCTTTTAATTGTTTTTTTTTTAATTGGCTGTGGAAGAGAAGCTAGTAAACAGCGTATTTATCAGCAGCAGGGGTCAGAGTGGGAAAGTCCCAGGCGCGCGGCCAAGGAATCCTACTGATGCGCGTGACAGTGAAAAGCGGAAGAAAAAAAAAAACCCTGACAATAAAAAAAGGAAAAAAAAAAACACGAAAATGTAAACGAACGGAATCAGAAACCAATAGCACGTTTTTATAAACGCGTTGTATTATAATCAACAACGGGACATTCATTTTTAAAACACCCTAAACGCAACGTTGCGCCTCCGCCGAGAAATATAGTTCGTCGTCMTGCAGCTTCTTTTATACTGCTTAATATTGTAAACTAATAAATCTGATCAAACTGTTGATGTTTAATCATTACTAGACAAGGTAACTGAAATATTTAATGCAGATCAAAGATGCATACAAACTATATACTAATTTAAAACCAAGTTAGCCTAATCACAGCTTTCATTGTTAGCTGRTATGAGTGGTGGTGTGTCGAAAAATGTACCCCTGGTTTTTAATAACCCATTTGGCTAACGTTTTTAAAGGTTTAAAATMAGTATTTTAACAATAAATAGATATATAATTTAATACGTATTGATTTATCGCTTTCGTATATTTTAATCTACCGAAATTGACCTCKCAGTTTTACTATCAAAAGTAGTTTTCTAGTTTTTGGCCCTGTGAAGATCACATTTTAAAACTTTGTCATCTGTGATGTTCAATTAAATGGCATTGATTCATTTTGTTCATGTGGTGTAACAAGTTTCTTCTGTCCCTTCAGGCTGCTCCACCTAGCCATCATCCACGAGGCCAAAGACTACATCAAAAGAATGATCGACTTGTCGAAAAACACACCGTACCTCGACATACAGAACGACCTGAGACAGGTACACAAGTTTATTCTTTCAGCTTCTTCCTTTTTCAACTTTGTGACTGGCTTTGATTTTAAAATAAATGCACCGCCTCCCAACTTTATTGGAAGATTGACTCTCTCTTAATATCCTTCCAGACTCCTCTACATTTAGCGGTAATAACAAACCAGCCAGACGTTTGTCACAGCCTACTAGTGTCCGGCTGCGACCCCACGCTTGTGGACAACAGCGGGGACARGCCGCTTCACATCGCCTGCCGCCACGGCAACCTGTACTGCTTCAGCGTCATCACGCAGCACTGCCGYTCGGAGCACCTGCACACGGCGATGGCTGCCTGCAACTATAATGGTGAGGTTTGCAGCACGAGAATGGTTAACTTAACAATGAAGAGCGATTCCAGAGTTGCGTATTTTGCTGTGGGTTCTTAGAAATGTGTTTTGTCTGCGCTTTTAGAAAGAATCAGGAACCAAACTGTGTTCAGGAGGAAGGAAGTGTTAGATAATTCAGGGGAATGCCTCTAAATAGAAACAGATCTGATTTTCCTCCGAATATGGTGACGCTTGTTGTTCTCAGTGTAAAACAAAATGAAATCCAAGACAAATTTAACCAAATTTTTTAAAAGTTTGGCCTGTAGATGTGAGACTGCTTTTATACAGGGTTCCCACACCTTGGTGAACATCGAATTCAAGGACCTTTCAAGGACTTTCCAGTAGGGTTCGGCATAATAATCGTATCTTTTGTAATTAATCGTCAGAAAAACATTAATCGATTACTTTTTGGCGCTTGACGATTAATACAATTAATGCCACCAGGAAGAGTCCACTCGGTGCTCCTATCTGCTTCGATGAACGTAAAAAAAAAGTTCTGTAATTTATTTATCTATCAACACAATTTATAATTTGATGTATAACCTGAAGTCTGTAATTTTGACACAGAATGAACAGATTTTTATGAAGAGCAAATCTTTTCCACTAAATTGGTCATGTGACTAGGACATAAGGGTGTCCAGGGACTCCAGGGGATTAATCGTCAAATTAATCYTTATCGACTAAATACCATAATTAATCGTGATTAATTGTTTTGCCAATATCGCCCAACCCTACTTTCCAGTACCAATTTCCTCAAATTCAAGAACCATGAGCGATGGKAATTACCTACTGCTACCCCAGAATGTTACCAATAAACAGGTTTAATATCATGTAAATTCAATGAAAAACTGAACAACATAGAAGTTGTTGAGTCAGAATCGATGAAAGAAAGTGGATTAAATGTACACCCTACATTCATATCTACAATATGTAATTACGTCCTGAGAGGTTCAGCAGCTCAGTTTGGGAGGAGGGGATGTGAACACGTCAACCCGCCCTACTCTGCTCTGATTGGCTAAAACTATGACTACGGCTCACGTTATTTGTTGAAAGCCACATCAGTTTACCATAAACCTGAGTTATCCATGTAACGAATTTAAGTTGTTGTTTTTGTTTTGTTTTTTTTTTACATTTGATGAAAATCATTCGTGTGAATAGATAACTTCAATCCCCAAAAAAAACTTTCAATGACTTTGAAGGACAAATATAACTTTTGGCTGTTTTTACAAACTTTACAGGGCCTTGAAATCATTTTTACTCACAAACTTTCAAGGATTTCAAGGACCTGTGGGAACCCTGTTTTATAAAATGGCCTGCGCTGGTCTGGAGTCGTAAGTTAAACGTCTCATGTTTTTCTTCAGGTCAGAACTGTCTCCACCTGGCTTCACTTCATGGTTTCCTCTCCCTGGTAGAGAACATGGTGGATCTTGGAGCTGACATCGATGCAAAGGTAAGCAAAGTTCACCCTTTCAATTCTCACTGGACCGTTTTAGAAGTCGTCTCGGTTCCATTTGTTGCATCTCTGTTCTGATGAAGTCTTTTTTTTTTTTTGTGCGCGCGCGTACAGGAGCAACACAACGGTCGTGGAGCGCTGCATCTGGCCGTGGARCAACAGAACCTCTCTCTGGTCAAACTTCTGCTGAAAAAAGGAGCAAACCCCAACCTCCTGAGCTCTGGAGGCCACACCCCCTTCCACCTCACCCACGGCTTGAACGACTGCGACATCCGGAAAGAACTGTACTCCGTGACCCATCCGGACTTGAGGGAGCTCGTCGACAGCGAGTCGGACCTCAGCGAGGAGGAAGAGGAGGACGACGAGTCGGACATGGTGAGTTGAAATCGCATCAAACTGGCTTTAAAAGGTGCTTTAAACATTCAGATCTGTGATTTTAATCCTTTTTTATATCCATGTGTATCTGCAGGCCTTTTATAATGACATTCAGTGGAACGGACATTAGCAGGAAATAACGGAGATCACAGAAGCTCAGATGGAGGCAAAACTCGGCGCGTGGATGAATTCTGCAATGTCATGTTAGGAGAATGACAGCGGGGGGAGGATGACGTGGCTCGAGTGTTCCTGAAAGAGGCCGAGCGGGCAGCTCAAAGACAACTCATAGACTGAGGACTGCAGGACAATGAAGGACACGTTGTGATATTTCTGTGGACACTGAAAGTCATCATCGGAACGAGAAACGGGAGGGAAAACGTCCATCCAGATGGATGCACCTGCAACAGCTCTGTATGATACTGTAAATGCTGTGTATACAAAGATGTATTTTTTAATGGAAGCTGTGACTGTACAGTTTAACAGGATGTATATGTCAAGACAGCAAACAGTTTACGGCACACTCCAGTTAAATTAAAACACTCATATTTAACAGTTGAAATTTCTTGTGTGAATGTGTTTATTGTTGAGGAATCGCAGTGATATAAATATTTAAAATCCATCCTTTTGAATTTAGGAGCTGTTTCATTTGAATGAGACGTAAATCAAGAAGGGGCTTAAAAAACAAAACGTATCTAAAAATCTTTAAAGAAAATTCAAGAGCGTCTGATTGAAACCACAAGTCTGGAAGAAAATTACAGAGAAATGAGAGATGGATCAAGATTATTGCATAAGAATGTTTTCAGATGTGAATTTTAGACTCTATAATGGCAATATAACAGATCCGGTATATAATCAGCATCACAGCCTTAATTATGCAGGAAATTACCCACGTTCCTTATTTTCCCCCTGCRGTCATCGAGTCTGGCTGCATAAATGAGCTCCGTCACAGCTGAGTTTCATTTCTGACAAACTGCTTTCTATTCACATAAAAAAGAAAAAAAAAAGTACGACAGCTCACCTATAAAGAATGACAAACCAGCAGCTAATTGAGCTTTGACTGTTGCTCCAACGCCATCTGTGTGAGTACGACTGAGATAAGAGGCTTTGGGAATTTTTTMTTTTTTGCATGTCAAACGAGGTTAACTCCTGTCATCTCAATAAGGAAGTTTTGTTGTTGTTGTTGGCTCAGAGAGAAAGGAGAGGAAATTCCCAGGAACAAAACGCAGCTGTTTGACATTCCTGCTCGTCACTCCTCCCCCCCAATTAAAGACGAGGAGCTCGGGCCCAACGCCAACAGCAAGCAGAAATTCTGCTTAAAACAATCGCCCACAGTCAATCATTCTGCAGAACTACACTTTACATATCCAAGTGTTGTCATTTGATGCTTTTCTACTGTTATGTTTTAGCTGATATGCKCAGGGTTAAGATTTTATGTGATAGACAAAGAAAAAAGTCCAAACAGGAAGTGAGTTTGAGCCCAGAGGTCATCAATAATTCACTCATGAAGAAATACTACGATAATGCTCAGATGCGGATAGTTGATCAGTTTAAAGACYAACAAAATAAAAGCTGAGCAAGGTTGCGCCACTTTTGGAGACATTTTAATGCACCGGACCACCCAAGTAATATTATAAACATCTTTACAGCTGGTTTCATCTCTAGCTTATTACCAACTTTTATAAACATTTTGAGCAGGATGAGCTCTATAAAGCTAATGTTTTCACTTTATTTCATTCTTTACATGTTAATTTTATCTGCAAGAAGCTAAATAGTGGAGCCCAGTTTATATATATATATTTTTGCAAATTAAAAAGCAAACAATCAGACTAATTCAGCTCCAAACTTAAACATGATTACTGAAGCAGAGATGGTGCATTTGATTTAAACCCGGGTGTTTTCAGTTTTAAATGGACGTAAAGCCCCTCTCAGACACGTGTTTCGTTTTGTAGCTATGAAAGAACAAATGAAAGTGAGTCACAGCGGCAACACTCGGACAGACTTCCGAGTGTTTCCAGTAAAACCGAACATCAACGCCAACTCTAAACACCAGGTCAGATATAAATGAAAGAACCGTGGAGACTTCAAAGTAAAATTCAAACACCGTGTTTAATAGACGCAGCAGATAAACATGAGAAGGGAATAACGAGCGACTTCTTGTAGACCTGAGCAGAGCTCGACGGAGGRGAGCGAGAGCGGGAAAGCTCTGGTAGCAGACCTGAGTAAAGACAGAAGTTTATATCTGAGAGGTTCTGAGCTGCAGCTGTTGCTTCAGCTCTGCTCACTCATTAACAGAACGCTCGTTGAAAGTTGCGAGCCGTGTCATATCAGCCACGAACGAGTGACGTGGCGCTCTGATCTGAATGTCCAGCCTTTTTTTTTTTAATGTCTGACAATCTGCAGCCGGCTCCAGTCAGAGTGAAAAGAATGAGTGGTTCTGACTACGACCTGGGAATATGGAGAGTGTTTAGTGGCRGTGCAGAAGGTCGACATACTCCCAACTTCTGCAGTAAAACGTCCGTGTCTTTTTTTTTTTTTTTGTATTTTGTCATGATGTTTATAATCCTTGGTAAGGTTTAGAGTGACGGATGCTTCTTGTTTTTTACTGTTCATCCTTCTCATCCGGCGGTTTTCTCACTCTCTTTCAGATAAAACCACCAGGTGAGCATCGATCTCAGACTCGGACAGAATCCTGAAACACAAACACAATTTTAGGACCTTTATTTTTAACTTTCATCACCAGAGTTTTAACTTTTGAGTTYATGCTGATCCCTATATTTCAGTCTATAAAAACTATCAGCAAAATCTGGATAGGAGTTAAGGAAACCTGCARATGGTGTTAACGGAAAACTCACTTAAATCTTGGTTCTTGTGTCGTAACAACCCCCACCTCCAGCTCAGAGGGCTTGAAGTCAATGGACAGAATGGTGGACAGACATGAAATAGCCATCTGGTTGGAGACAAAAGGGGGAAAAATGTCAAAAATAATAATAATCATCATCTTTATAACATATGAAGTTTGAAACAAAGTTCTTATAGTCTTAAAAATAAAGAAAGATGTCACATCTTTCATACACTTAACACAAAAAGTAAGTAAATTAGTGTTTGGTAGATTATTTCTTTGTTGTAACAATGCTTCTTTACGAGAAGCTCAAATCAAGAGTCAATAACAACAAAATAAGCTGTTTGGCACCCACATACTCAGCTCCACTGCTCATCCCAAAGATGCATGTTCCTTACAAATGTGGCACCATTTAAAAGGGAAATTGACACACTTTACAACTGTATTCGATCTATTGCCAAAAAGCATTGTTACAACAAAYAAATAATCTACCAAACACACTTTTCCTTACTTTCTGTGCTAATTATATAAATTTACAGGGAAAGCATTCTTCTTTTGAAGTCATTAAAATGACAGCAGAACCTGACTACAGCTGCTTTTTGCTTATTTAGATCAGTGGCTTCCAAAGTTGGGGTCGGGACCCACAGTGGGGTCTTGAAACATCAAGGTGGGGTCCTGAAAGTATTTTCTGTATTAATTACACTAAAATTGACAAATAACATTTTCCCTTTGTTGTTACAAAATAGTAAGATTAGTGTATTTAAAATGGACAAAAACAAGGTAATAAATAATGTTACTATGCTCTTGATATTTGATGTGAAAACAATGTTTATCAACCGACAACAGCTGGGGGCACAGGTCTCTGCTGCAGGTATTTTGTGGGCCAAAAGCTGAAAGGTTTGGGAACCACTGATTTTGAGAATAATCTTAAACAGCATAATCTTTTTTATATGTTCACCTGAACCTTTTGACTCTAATTTAACTTAAAGACAGAAAATATCATACACTGTTCTTTGTCAAGCCGAAACTAATTTCATTTTGATAAATTGAAATATTGAAATAGAAATTTCCATCAGTAATATGCTCATTTAAAAAAAAAATCTGTGCAGAGTAGAGGAGTAAAGGCATCGTTTGAAATTTGTCCAACTCTGTTCTCTGTTTATCCTTTTAGAGCACCCTTTCTCTGCAAGATATTCAGGATGTTGCATCTGCTTGTTTGTCTCATTAAGAAAATGCTAATTTGAAACTAATAAAACAGCTGTTGGTATATGAAAGTAGGAGTTTGCGTTCACGTTTGAAAATCTTGTATTTGTGTGTATTTGTGCAAGTCCTGCCTCTACTGTCTGCTCGTAGGTCCAGTCCAGCTTCTTCTTGAGTTTCTTCTCTAGAAAACTAGTGGCCTCGGCCTGTTTGACTCCGGCTGCCGTGGCCTTAAAGCCACAGTAGTATCCAGCCGGGTCGCATTTATACAGCTGTGGGCCCAGCTCCTCGTCCACTCCCACCACAATCATACCTGCACAAAACGCACAAATCTGTTTTTCAAATGGTTTTAGATTATTAAAGTGCTTGTACGTTTTTTTTTTTCACGGCTCTGAGAAAAACATAAACGGACGTGAAGTTTGAAAAGGTAAAATCCCGTAACATTTCTGGGTATGACTCACAGCAGCCGAGCGGCCTCATCTCAGCGTTCTGTGTGTAGACTTGGGAGATGTCGGCCATGCGTTTGCACAGCATATCTATGGGGACCTCGTAGCCGTATTTGTACTTCCAGTTCGCTGCCTCGTAGCGAGCTCTCTGCATCTGAGACCGGCTGTCAGCTGGACAAATAAAAACAGAAAATACATCAAAACACTTCAACAGAACTATAAAATTTATTCTAAAATGTTAACCAATTTATTTGCTGGTTACTTGCAATGCTTACCAGTCATGCCGGTCATAAGGCAGCCGATGTTCTCTGTGATTCTACACATGTGTGTGACGGTCGTGGCGTCCAACAGTTTGTCCTGGTAAACACAAAAGGAAATGAGTTACTAAGAGAAACAAACAGCAAACATGTTTGGGTCATTTTACTGACGGGAACTTTTCTCTGCGTGACCACCACAGCGCAGTCCTTCCCACGGACCGCCACAGAGGTCTGTCCTCCCTGGTTGATGGCTTTGAAGGCATATTCTGAACGTGGACAGGATTTAAAAAAAGAGAGCTTTTACCGTGCAATTGTAAATATTTTACAATATAGAAGTTAGTTGTTGTTTTAATATATCAAACATAAAAATAAAAATAATGCATGACTACTTTTCTCATATGCTTTTCTTTGTACAAGGACTGCTTTATCTCTCTGGTGCATGTATGTGACGTTTATTATTATTATTATTTATTGGCCACACATTCAATTTAAAATAATTTCTTTGCTTTTCCTGCTGTCTGCTTTCCTGAACGTTCTCAGGTCTGGATTAAATACAGTCCTCTGGCTTCCTGAGAACGACAGCTTTTTCTAATTGTCATTTTAATTGACTGATTTTGACCATATCTCAATCTGACAGTAGCACATAGCAGATGCTTAGCAGCAGATGTCCTGGTTTAGGGTAAAATTAGTTGTAAACATCACAAATATTTTGAGACTAATAAAATAATTAATATTATGTTTTATTGCTATGTTAAAATATTTGTCTCTGTAATAACCTGATTGACTTGGGTTTGAGCGGCTGCTAGCAGCTTGTTAGCATCATTAGCATGAATGACAAATCAGGTTTCCTTTTACTCCTCACCGACTTGGTAGAGTCTTCCCTCCGGGGAGAAGATGGTGATGTGCCGGTCAAAACCTGCGCTAGACCCCCGAGACATGACGGCGATTATTTATAAAATAGGGGAAAACAGACGGGAAAATGAAACTAAAGCGACAAGAAAAACAAAACATGAGAAACATCGGCCACCGGAAGTTTAATTTTTCACTTCCGGGCAGTGTTGCCAGCTGGGAAATGTTGAATTATCGTATCAGCAGCTCAAAATTATCGTATTTTGAGGAAAATTATCGTACACACCCAAGTTACATTCTAGAGAGGCTCAAATTTATAAATACATCCTGCTCAGCTCACAATGTGCTCTGTGTTCAACAAAATGCACATTCTTTTGTTTATAATAAAGTTAAAAATCACTCTTGGGTGTCTGTTTTTTTTGTTTGTTTGTTTTTTTTTACAAAAGCTTCATTGTAAACAAGAACAAAACATGGAGTCTGGGGAAATGCTGCATATAAAAA